CCCTGTGCTGCCACCAGCTCCCAGAAACAATGGGGGTGGGGAAGGGAGCCTGCATGTGGTGGTAACCACCAACACCAGTGACATGCAATATGCCCCACCTCCCTGCCTCCCCCTCTCTGCCAGCTGTTGTGGGGGCTAGACAGCAGTGGCAGCAGCAAGGTGGGGCATGGTGGCAGCAGTAGGGGGGGCGCTACCACCAGAAACCCCCCTATCTCCTTCCTGCTCCCCTCCCTCTCTCCCCACTGCCTCCCCCTCCCTGCCTGCTGGGAGACCTAATTTATGACATGGTAATCAAGATTAAAATTTTGGGCAAGGCTCTAGTAGACAAAATCTGGTCTTAAGTCACACCAATGTATATTTGGAATTTCTCTGTTGAAGTGGCATGATACAGTTGGGGTGCAGGAGGTGGTCCTGCTTTGAGCAGGGGGTTGGACTAGATGACCTCCTGAGATCCCTTTGAACCCTAAATTTGTTTTGATTTTAAGTCAATGAAGTAACTCTCAACCTGGGGACCGTGGCTTGAAGGGGCAAGTGTTAACTTGCAGAATTTGACCTCGGGCTTCTACAGAAGACAGGAAATTCTACATGTTTCATTTAAATTTAAGGGAAATGTACACTCCATCTAAAGATGAAAATTAAAATAGTTAATAAAATGGATACAAAACCTCAGTTCATTTCTCAGCTTTCTTAATATTCTGTTTTGGATGCATTTTAAAATTGTTTTTCCTTCTGACAACACAATTGCACCACCAATTTGTCAGTAGCTAACATTTTGCTTGTTGGATAAAAAGTGGTTGACAAACTTTTGGAGCAAGCTGAAGCATAGGAAATATTTTCAGATTGTGAGAAGCACATTAACCAGGTTCAGAGCAAAAATGTCAGTACAGTCTACTTTGCTGCTGAGCATCTAAACGTCTTTTGTTATGTTACACCTGAAACAGTTGGATACAAGTAGTTCATACTTCAAATCTACTGGTTTCAGCCTTTCTGAAGTCCAAAGGACACTTTACCCATATAAGTGTTATTCCAGCAAATTGCTCCTACCATGGCTTAAGTTTACACTAGTCAAATTTCCAGTTTATCAATACAGCTAGTTTTTGTCTTCCTGAGGAAAAACAAGCTGCACTGGAAGGAACACAATTTTGCTGGAATAATTTAATCTACACTCTGGAACTTTGCCAGGACAAGTATGTCAGTAAAGGACTGAACATCTCCAGATGACTAACCCGCAGAGGCATGATGAGTCTACCAAAGTCTGCATTCAGTTCACTTCTTTAAATTGCATCTGTGTTTGATAGATAGGAACAAACATTAAGAAAAATTTAAGGTTTTTAAGTGACCTAACATATAAAGCACTTCACAATAAAATCAATAGTAGAGTTCATTTAAAATAGCAAGCATAGTACTAACAGTCCATTCATTTATCTACCTGTTTAATATGAGATATGGTGGCATCTCTAGGGACATCCAGGTTGATGTAGATTCCAGTGGGCAGCAGGAAATCCACAGAGATTAAGCCATCAGCTCCTATCTGTGAATCCACTGCCCAGATGTCAAGGATGTCTGTTACTGTAGGAGGCATGATGAAATCTGAACAGTATCATAACCACATGGCCCTAGGAAAAGAAATTAATTCAGATGCTTTACTATTTTATAATCAGATACACATTTTAATATCTTGCGAAATTTTACATAGGCCTTCTTGCACAGATCAGCTTACAAGGTAGGGGGTCTAAGGTTCCCAAGACTTCAGACATATACAAAAATGAATAATTTTACTCAAGCAAGTAAATCTATTGAACTCATGAAGTTCAATGAATAAAGGTACTTCTGTGAAGGTGTTTATAGCACCAGGGCCTAAATTAAAAACCAACTATATGTACACAGTTTTCACTGACTGACAGTTTTCATTTCTGTTGAAAGTAGTGCCCAGAAAATTTTGCAGAACAGAAACTTAAGACAAACAAACAAAGAGCCTAATAAGGATTATGGATCAATATACACTATTCAAGAATATGAAACACAGTATGTATACTTCAAAAACCTCTGCAGTCCACTGGATTCTTTACTATTATCTACATTAAAGAAAAATGTTTACATAGCTTTACAACATTTAGAAATTGAATGAATGAATCTACTCCACCAATCTACTGTTCGTAACTAGGCTAATAAAAATATATTTGTTAAACTATTCATTAAACAAAGAAGCCTCTACCATACTACTCAAAGTGGTTCAGATAGGATAGATCAAAGAATACAAAATATTCCATTAAACATGTTTATTTTTCATTTGTATACATGTAAAAACAATATTCATAGCATCTTGTATGATACTGAACAGCAGCACATAAATTAAATATTTTAACAGTTCCTATTGAACTAACAAAGTATTACTAATGTGGGATTGCACATTACCTGGAGGCAAAAAGATCTTTGCTTCCAAAATACAAGTAAACCAATTTGGAAAAATATTATTGTGAAAAATATATATTATATATGGAGCTATCTATATATAGTTTTCACAATAATATTGTTATTAAAGCACAATGGTATAATAAGTGTATAAGTTTTTATTTTAAAACTAGCCAATTGCCCATCAAGAATGACTGGGGGGGGTGGGAACAGGACATGGAGCGGCACCACCTGATGCCCCACGCTGGTCTAACTCTGGTCCCGTGCCCCACTCCACCCCATGTCCAGCTCCATGCATGGCCCCCCCACCCCTTGCCCACTCGCTCCAGCCCCTCAGTCCCCACCATCATGGGGGTGGGTGGGTGGGGATGAAGCCCCGCATCCAGCCTCAACCCCACCCCATTGCATTGGAGCACGAGCAGGGCTGAGGGGTTGGGAGGCTGTGGTTCAGGAGCGAGGGGCACTGGCAGGGCTAGGGGGCTGTGGGTTGGGAGTGTCTTTTTCTATGCATGTTGTTTGTGGTTTTAGACTATAGCTAGAATGAGTTATAATTTGCATTGACAAATTATGTATATATTTATTTTCTCTAGCATACCACTGTTGAATATGGTATGGCACTCATAGGTGATGGACACGCACCCCCTGAGAGTGCTGTTGCTCCCTTAAGAGCAAGTGCTCTTGGCTTAGACAATGGGCAGAGGGGGCGGGCAGAGAGCTGGTGTCTTCCCCCCCAACCCCAAGAAGTGCCACTGGCACTTCTGGGCACAGTGGCGGCATTTCTGGACTAGGCACCTGGCCACAGGGGGACCCCGTGGGTCTGACACCACTGCCTGCAGACCATCCCCACTTGGCTCACCTTCACAGTCGACACTTGTGGGCGGTTGTTGTGCCACCCCAAGCCTCAGGAGGCATGCATCACCTATGATGGCACTTAGTTTTTCTTGCTAAAAGAAAATGTTATAGAGTATTATGCATTAATTTTATTTTGGTTTGATTTGTATTACTTTGTTTTTAGTGGGAGTTTAGAGGGACAGTTATATTGAGCAAGCATAGAAACATTAACAGTGAACAGTAATGGCAGTCTAGTTTCCTATATATTTTTTGTGTATTATATACTTCTAAGTCTCAATTTAGCAGCCATGACATCTAGGGTTGTTTAATGGTATGGCAGCATAGTAAATATAATCCACAGTTGAAGCAATTAAATAAAACATCAAATAAATTATTTAATAGCTTTTTTAAACTTGGTATTCAATTTTTTTTTTAAATCTAAAAAGTTAAAATGATTTTAAAAGTTTTAAATGAAAAAGATAAACGGTCATAAATATTGTAATGCCATATTTATGACTTGTTGATTTTGTCTCCATCATTTTGGGGTTGCAAAATATTTCCAATGTTTGAATGGGTTCATGCTGAGGAAAAGGTTGGGAAGCACTGGTCTAAAGGGTGGGCAAGACAGTATCACAAAGCAAAGCACTCCTCTGACAAAGGCAAAATAAGCTGCCTTTGTAGCATTCCAAACTTTACTAACCAACAGGATATGAAGGGAAAAGCAAATAGTCTGTCCTGTTTAAAACAGAATCTGCGACTACCTAGTGCAGGTTCCTATTTGCATTCTTCACTCTTTCCCCAGTCTGCCTTGTTTTCATTCTCTGGTCTAGGATCGGGCCTGTTCTGCTACAATACTAAACAACAATAGCAGAAGGAGTTTCAGCTCCTAGGGATTTAAATCAGCTTCAATCAACTGCTGTTCCTTACAACACCACAGATGCATTATGTGGAGGAGTAGCAAGCTCAAATGTATAGGTGTAATCAAGGTATACCAAGATACAGCTATTAAATTTTACACTTATTTAGACAATCCAGAGAAATAAATCATTAAGATGCACGTCAGACTTCATAAACACAAAGCACCCCTTCTGTACCTTCATACACAGAAGGTACCATTTTGCAATTTATTAACCGCCTGTCTTTCTAAGAAGAACATTAAGAAATGGCTAACTCTTCTATGTTTCATATGTTTCATAACTTCATAAGCACAACAGAATTGTGCTGCCTCTGATCAACTACAGTATTACCTCCATTTTCCACAGTATAGTGCAGGGGTGGGCAATTATTTCAGCTGGAGGGCCACCTAACAAGTTTTGGTGAGCTGTTGAGGGCCACAAGGGGAGTGCTGCCTCGACAGGTGGCCCCCCCACCTGGTTGCCATCTCAGTACTGGAGGTATCGCTCCTAACCTCTGCCACAGGAATTCCCTCCCCCTGCCCCAGAATTACTCCTTTTGGGGAAGTGGGGTTTGCCATCATGGAACCAGAAAATAACAATCATATACTAAAAGAATCAAACATCACTATAACATATTTAAATTTTATTTCAAAAAATATTTTTGTCCTGATTTATGTACATTTGGCACAGTTTGTATAGAGGTGATTGTGTAATAGCTCAAAGTTTTTTGTATAATTGTGTGGGAGGGGAGGTAGGGGGTGTATGTGGGACAGTGTGGATGTGTGTGGCTATGGGAGGAGTGCAGGATGTGTGTGGGTGTAGGGGGCCAGTGTGGGATGTGTGGGGAGGTGTATGTGTAGATGTGTGTGTGGGGAGTTTGGGGGTGTGAGATGCGTGTGTAGGTATGGTGGGGTGTGGAGTGTGTGGGAGGTTGTGGGAAGAGTGTGTGGGTATAGTGGGGCATGGGACGTGTAGAAGAGTGTTGAGTGTGTGCGAGTATGGTGGGGAGTGAGGTACGGGATGCGTGTGTGGGGTGGGGAGTGGAGGGTAAAGGAGCAGAAAAGCAGCTGCCACTGGTGGGGAGGGGGAGGGAGGAAGCCAAGCCTGGCGCTGCCAGCTCTGTTGGCCTCTATCCCATGCCTGCCTTGCAGGGTTGCAGCCAAGTCTGCACTGGCTCCTGCTGCTACTCCTGCCATACCTGCCTGTCCCACGCCTGCCCAGTGGAGCTTTCTGAGCAGCTGAGCTCCTTCATGCCCCCCTGCCCCTTCATGCACACGCTCACCTGCCCAGCCATGCATGAGCAAGACTAAAGTGGGATGAAGACAGAGTCCACACTTACCTCCCCCCCACCCCACCCAGTCCTCAACTCCTCCGTTTCCCAAACATACGGGGCCCCAGCTTCAGACACCGGTGGGACTGCATTTGAAGCCTGAAAACTGCTGTTTCCTGTGTTGCCTCCAAGAGATAATTTCAAATGGAATTGAACATTACCAGGGGCTGATGTTTTCCTGTTGCTACATGAGCACCGAGGCGAAATCAAAACATTTATCGAAAGTAGACACCGCGGCAGAGGCGAGATGCTCTTGTAAAAAGC